GGTCGGCTCATCAATTATTTTACTACGGAATTTAAATGCTCCAAAACTGTGTAATGGCACAAGACTGGCAGTAAAAAATTGATGGCGAATTTAGTTGAAGCAACAATACTGACTGGCAAAGCAAGCATTTGCCATGTCCGTCAACAAGGCGCAAGGAAAAACTCTTCAAGTATGCGGATTGAATTTGCAGGAGCCGTGCTTTTCGCACGCGCAGCTATACGTGGCCTGTTCAAGAGTTGGCATTCTAAATTGTTTATTTATTCATACCCAAGATGGAAAAACAAAAAATGCTGTGTATCCAAATGTGTTGGATTAATATTTAAAATAAAGAATCAAAAATTTTTAAATAAAACAAATGATAAATTTTCATATAGACAAATTCCAAGATTTTTCACTCATTTTTCAATATTTGGTGTAGAGAAGCACACCGGGGTACCGCTAGTATATGTATATATCACCATACCCAGTTCTAGTCCTCTACCACAAATATATGCAGTTTGAAAAATTCGGTTTGTATATCGAAACTTTTTTTTAGCCTATAACCATCCTTGGAAAGTCTGCAGTATATTCCGAAATTTCAAAAAAATCGGTACGGCCTTTCTCGAGCTTTAATAATAATAATAATAGATTGGCGCTTACACATATGTTAGTGTTTGGCCGAGCTTCTCCTCCGACTTGTGGCGTGCGCCTTGATGTTGTCACACAAAGCGGAGGGCCCTACAATTTTACGCCGACTCCGAACGGCGATTGTATTTTTATGAGAAGCTGTTTTTCATGGCAGAAATACAGTCGGAGGTTTGCCATTGCCTGCCGAGGGACGACCGCTGTTAAGAAAAAACCTTTTTCTATACTTTTGGGATGTTGCTTTGACCAGGGCTTGAACCCAGGTGCTGATGTGTGAAAGCGCGCACTGCTTACCACTACACCACAGCGGCCGACAGCTTTGCGAACAGAAAAAAACGCCTTTCAAAATATATATTAGTATAGACTAGCCAATATCTGCTTGTTTTGCGGCTTAAAACACTACTACCGATGAAAATCGATGGATAAATACACAAGTTTGCAAGGGTTAAGTGAAAGTGCAATAATTTTTTGTATGAAATACTAGCAGGAAATAATGTTACCCATACGCCATATCGTACATGACCGTATGACCATCTTAAGTTTGGATTTTTTTCATTCGCAATGAAAACTTAAAATGAAAATAACTTGACTAAATGACCTTATCTAAAAAAAATGGTATACAGATCCGTAACATACTACTTAAAATTAATTTTACGCCTCTCGGCGTTTTTTTGTGTAATTTGAGCGTCGTTACAGTGTTATCATCAAAATTAAGCCATAGCAATGATATATGTTTATAAAACTCTTAGGAGGTAGGATCTCCAGTTCGACAGGGCTCGTAATTCAAGCGGACTCTATCCTCATTTGTAACGCAGGGTACCAGTAAGAGTACTTCAAAGGCCCCAGAAGGCACGCCATTTTGGGTAGAATTAAGGGTACCATAATATACAAAATTAACTCAGTGCATTTTTATAGGTACGCAGGGATTAGTCCAAGAGAACAGCAGTAGGATCTGGAAAATTTAACCGTTACCTTATAAACTGAACAGCTACAGTTTAAGCTATTCAGTTTTCTTAAAGTCCAATTAGTAATACTACTTAGGTATAAGTTAGCAACCAAGAAATTTAACAAAGCTATTGCAATTCAACAGTAAACAAATTTTTTTTTTTACATTTTTCGATTACTTTTTAAATTACTTTGAGGAATGGAATTGGAAAAAAAATCAATTACGTTTTCAATTCCTTTCAAAGGAATTGGAAAAAAAAATTACATTTTCAATTCCTTTCCAAGGAATTGAAATAAAAGAAATTACATTACTAGCACGTAATTTATTCCAATTACAATATGAAATTCCTTGTAATGGAATTAAAGAAAAAAACAATTCCATTTGAAATTACTTCAAGGAATTGAAAAAGTAATCGATTCCTTTGCTGTGAACTAAACGAATTGAATCCTAATTACAATTACTGAGGAATGTAATTGTAATTCCAATGTAATTGCATTTACCCAGTTTTGCTCTTTATACATAGATATAGATAGAAGATATCCAATGTGTGCTTTCGATTTTAATCTTTGACCACAACAAAAGTTCCACATTGTACATTCGTGAATGAACTTTCAGTTTCTCGATTACTTTTACAATTCCTTTGAGTAATTGAAACAACTAAAGTACTCTTGCAATTCCAGGTAATGGAATTGAAATAAAATCAATTACGTTTTCAATTCCTTTCAAGGGAATTTAAAAAAAAATATTACATTACTAGCTCGTAATTCATTCCAATTACAATATGAGGTTTCTTGTAATGGAATTAAAAAAAACAGTTACATTTGAAATTACTTCAAGGAATTGGGAAAGTAATCGATTCCCTTGCTGTGGACTGAAGGAATTGATTCCTAATTACAATTCCTTGTAATTTGTAATTGGGAGTAATTTGTATCCTAAAGGAATCATTACGACCCAGCTCTGACAGCTGCTGACGTTTAGGTATTTTTATTGATATTTGCTCAGCGGTGGAGAATACAAAGTTTTGTGTAAATTTTTTAAATTATTTCAGGTGGAAACCAAAACAGGGCCTATACGTATATTTCTTCTTATTCTGACTTTCTTCAACATACGCTTCAATTTCATTGTGGAAGTCACTGCCGGATTTCCTATATCGACAGTGGTGTCGAGTGCTTTCGGAATACTTTTTCAGCCGAGTACCTTTCAAATGTTTGGAGTTAAATAAATTAATTGAATAAACGAATATTTACATACTTCTTTCATTAGTAAATCGCAACAAGATTGTTCATTTTTAAATTTAACGAACTCGTTGATTAAAATTAATGTTGACAAAAATGCAACCGTGTGCCACAATCCTGCTTGCAAATTCCTACTGGCAAAAATTTTCCCAGCACGAATTTGCAACTTCCCCTCCACATGAAATGTCAAAATTGTGCTCTCTCCTTGCAAGTTTTACTGGGTTTTTGGCTAAACGAACACGATTTGGTAACAATTGGTACCAACTTGTACAAATTTTTTGCATAGCGAGCTTTCTTAATCTTTACAAAACTATGTAGTATATCACTTTTTTTTATTGTGCATGCCCGTGTCAGTTTTTGAGTGTCCGTCCAAGTTCCGCCGGAGCAGCATTCTCGTTCTAAAGGAGCAACCTTTTATACCGCAGGTGCTGCACACTTACAAGTAAGTATAGTACACGTTAATAATAGTTTGAATATTATACGAATATTTTATTGTGCAGGTGAGGGTCAGTTTTTGTGAGCCCGGCCAAGTTCCACTGGTGCAGCATTCTTCTACAGGTGCAGCTTTTCAGACCCCACATGCAGCCGCTTCGTTCCACACCTTCAAGTAAGCATTGTCCACGTCAACAATAGTTGTTAAAGTATATTAACTATATGAATATTTTATTGTACAGGTTCGGGTCAGTTGTTTTTCCATCCAAGGTCCGCTGCTCCAGTATTCTCGTTCCGCTGGTGCAGCCACTTTGTTCAGGTTCAGGTCCAGGTCAGTTTTAGTGTGTCCGTCCACGTTCCGCCGGAGCAGTCTTTTACCGCAGTGCAGCCGCTTTGTTCCACCCTTATAAGTGAGTATTGACAACGATAATAATAGTTATAAAACTTTATTATATGAATCTTTTGTTGTGCATGTCCGGATCTGTTTTTGTAGGTTTGTCCCCGTTTCGCTAGTGCAGCCCACTGGTCCCGCAAATTCAAGCTCTTTTTATTTATTTACCCCCTTATTCTAGAACCCGAATTTTCGTGATTCGTAGCTACGCTACGAAAAATCCACATGCTGCAACCCATGCGGAAACATGTGCAGCATTGCCAGCTATCAGTTGTTTTTCGAAGATAGCTGAATGAAGGAATACCAAGTGGAGAATTAAAAAACCACTCATGACGGTGCTTATTTATATTAAAATTGTTTGATTTTATATATTTTGAAGGAAAATATGGATTATGTAGCATTTGCAATTATAGCACCGGAATAAGAGCGCGCTATGGGAAAGATTTCACAAAGATATGCGGAGCTGTCGGGCATAGTAACCATGAACGCATCTATGCCAGCTTCCGGTTGAATTGTTGAGCCACAAGCCAGAACTGCTCCTATGCTTGAAGAACTGGTTCTCAATCCAGTTAATGCAATAACAGCTTCTTCCAAGCCATTGAAAACATTTACTTCCCACCACCTACTGCGCTTACTTCTGCCTTCGGCCGCGCTTAGGGATTATAACCCTTACTAAGTAGAATTATCCTTCTGTGTTGACGGAGAAGAGGGGCTTCCGCATGTTAAAGGTATACAACGTTTCTTATGAATATAACTCGGGCTACACCATCCACTGTATTTTTGCGCAGAACCCACATCGCAATTTACAAAAAAAGTGCATAGTGCAAACCGAATTATTAATAACTAGTGCCCGGGAATTTGAAACATTTGTTTTAAATAAAAGTTTCATCTTTTGATTACGTGTATATTAAAGTTTTTGGATTCGGGTTATGCCTTTGGACACAACAACCAAAAATCGTTGTACAAATAACTAAACCGGACCCAAGTTCCTCGATAAGGGCAACAAAGACTATTTTTTGTTCGTTTATATAAAGCAGTGGATGAAAATATGCGTATATACGAAAGGCATATTTATCTGCTTAGAAGAACACCACTAATATTTCCTGCAAACACACATCGATTTACATCTTTTATCTCGCCTCCGACACAGAATTTTTTTCGTAAAAAATTACGCAAAAAGGCTTATTCGTTCGTTTTTAGGCATGCCATTGTTACGAATTTCGAAAGTTTCTACGATTCGTAGCAAAATCCGAATACGAAAGAGTTGCAGAATAGGGGTGTTAGAGTCTATGATTAGTACAATCTTACAGACTAGAATAGCAAAAAACTTAATAAACTGTAACATTAAGAGTAACATGTACACAAGGTTTTCTTAAATTCTATCCTATTGGCAAAAATGCTAACATTGTACACTTTGCGTAACCCAGTAAGAACAGTATTTGTAATCTAACGCGTTATATCCCATGTAGTGCTACAAAAAGTATGCGTGAGAAATTCAAAAATTTTCCATCATTTAGTAAAGGCCTTCGGGACCAATCTAACGCATTCTCTGTTGTACGTGTGAGCGTTTATCTCTTTTTTATACACGAAATTTTACTATTATGAAATAGAATAGTTATCTCTTTTCAATCGTCTATAGCAAGGCAATTTTTAACGCGATATATAACGTATCACATGGCATACACATATACTGTAATCCTAACGCACAGAAAATACATTTTCTATGTGATATACATACCCGTTATTTTCACTGTATAAATAACAAAATATTTAGTAGGTATTTATTTCAATATTGAAGTTTTATTGAATCTAAGTACTACAAATATGTATATATATCAGAAAATTTACGTTTAAAATTTTTGGAAATCGAATACAAAACATAAAGCTTAATCCATTTCAATTCTATAAACTCTTAAGCAGAGATTACACGATTTCTTCATTTGTACAGATTTGTAGATTTTGGCGGTCACAGAGTGGTGTTGTCTAGAAACTTTTATCGAGATGGGCCCAGCTCAATAAAAAAAATTGTCCAAACAACCCCACTCTGTGACTACCAAAATGTGCAAATCTGTACTAATGTACAAATCGTGTGATCCCTGCTTTACTTAAATAAAGCTAAGAATCAATTTTAAGGAAAATAATTTTACTTAGAAATTGCGCAAACTCATTTACTTGTATTGAGTCTTACGTATAGTATTTAAAAGTAAAAATTAATTTTCAAAATGGTAATCCCACTTTTGACCAGTATGATAACCACGATTTAAAACCTTGTTTGAGAACTTGCTTCCACCTCGTTTTTTCTTGATTGGATGAGTTTCTTCTGGCGGTACCGGTTGTGACTTAGCTCAACAGACTTTCTTAAAAGTTTGTCGAAGCTAAGTCGACCTTCAGCTTTAAAAACATCTGAAAGAGAGGAATGTAAGAATGGCATATGAGGCCATGAGAGCATAAGTGGCTTAACCCACAATTATTTTTTTGTACTTAACTTCTTAAAATTGTTTCCAGTTTGATAAATTTTAAAGTAAAGGTCGCTTATTCCTTAATTTGATGGTACGTTATATAGCTCTGTACCTTAAAATTAAGGAATAAGCGACTTTTATTTTAAAATGTACCACGTTTGAGACTACTTTAAGTAAGGATGTACACAAAAAAAATATATAAATATAGTACTTTGTATATCGCAGCAAACTATTAAGCAAAATACATAAAAAAAGAGAAATAAACACAAACCAATTTTAAATATAACGATTATTTTCGGTCTCTGGAATAAACATTTTACGAGATCAACATACCGAATAACAATTCATTAACCAGCACAAGCTTAATTAATGCCTTTTTATTTTTTCTCCCATCCAAGTTGAATAAAATCAAAAGTTCATCGGCCATAAGTTTACGTAAGACGTCATCTACAGTTCCGCTTGTGCCTTTAATTTGGTACAAATATATTTTCTGTAAATTATAAAAAAGGTCTATTGAATAATTCCATAAGATTTAAAAAGTGATCAAAATATACCATTGCTTCTGCATATTCTTTTGCTTTTAATTTTTGTTCAACCTCATATGCGGCGTCAACGCTAACCATTGGCAATGAAGCTGCTATTTCGATTTGTGTACGGTCTTCTACTTCGCCTGTCAAACGGCTTACAGAGTGGTGAACTTTGGTGAGCACGGCCTTGCATTCTCTTACGTTCTGGTTTTGTGCCATTAAAACACCTCTATCAAGCGCCTATTCCAATATAATAAAAAAGGCAAATTAATATATACGTCTAGGCGAATTTGATATGAGTGTGAAAATAAAATTGTGTATATAAAATTGCCTCGAACTGCATACATTTTCCTTTACAGCTTTCTCCAAAATATCGAGTCTGCACATCATTTCGTTTTGAGTTTCCAAAATTTTTGCTAAAAGATCCTTGATTTCTGAAATTGTAAAAATATAACGTGTACAGTTACTCACAGAAATATTAGTTCTTTAGTTTTTTCATAATACTGAAAACTCAGAAATATTAGGTGTTTAGTATTTTCACAAGTGATTGAAAAGTTTTAAATTTCGATGAAAATTATTTTGAAATTCGCCGAGCTTTTGCAACATATATGGTATTTTTTAAATACAAATTACGGTTTTGTTTAAATAAAAATTAACGAAAAACATTTATAATGGAAGATATTTTTAATGTCGTGAAAAAAACTAAGCGAATACTTTAAACGAGTTAAAGTTACCTGTATTGAAATCTTTTTGTGTTTCTTTGCTTAGGTCTCTCGTATCGTAGGCCGAATCCAGCTGAAATTTCTTTTTGTAAAGTTTATACACTGGAAATAAATACAAAATAAAAATATATGTCTATATACTAAAATTATATGGAGAATTTACCTGGGGGTGTGACCAAAGCCTGGGATTGACCAAAGGAAAAATCCAGCTGACTCTCTTCGAAGGACAAATCCATGTTTGCTTAAAAATATAATTAATTTTAGTTATAGTTATTGACATTTAGTGTAAGTTTTTGGCATATTGAATTTTAAATATTTTAATAGTTAAGTTACAAAAGGATTTTTTTTTTAATTTTTGAAATTTTTTAATAGTTAAGTTACAAAGGCAAAAGTTTAGTTCAGATTTTTAACTATTTACAAAAAGGGCTAGATGAATTAGAAAAAACGTGATTCAGCCAATATGAACATTTTAGTTCGAAAACGCGTGAAAAAGAGTGTGAAGAATTGGAATAAGCAAAATATTATTTTCTTGGGGAATACAAAAGTATTTGTATTCTATATCTGCTCTGTTAATTATGACTAACTCATTACTAATTTCACTGGCTAAAAGTATTCCCAATCCGGGTGAAGATTCTAGTGGTTGCTCAAAGTAGTTTTGAATTTTTAGGAAGTTATATCCTAGTACCACATCCCGACCGGATTCTTTACGAATTTCGATTACTTTAATAGGACCAAACAGAGGGGTGAAACAAAAGGAATCTTTTTCTTTTTTCGTATCTATATTCAATATCCCCGATTGTTATATTGTTATATATAATTGAATGTGGGCCATTTCTCTCCTGAATTCTCAAATAAAGCTGTTGCAATATTTTGTTGGGTTTTTTTATAATTCTTTTTAAATGCTGCATGTAATTTTCGAACCTGTACGCAGTCGGTTAAATGCAATAAACCGTGAACATTAAAGCTTATTAAATGTTCACCGAAAATAATTCCAAAAAAATTTACGAACTCTGATAATATTGCCTGAATCACATTTTTTTCATTTTTGTATTTTTTTTCGCATGAAAGAAGTCTTATCCCCGCATGCAAGAGAAGAAAGTGATAGTACAAGTCCTCGTCAATGTTATCTTTTAAAACAAATATGCCTAAATATAATAAAAATTTACGAAACTCTGTTGATTTCCAAATAGCAATTTCGTCGAAACTTCTGCAAACTCTACCGAATTCAGATGGAACCAATTTTGAAACGAAATTTAGCTTTTCATTCATTTTGGTTACGTTTGCCTTTTTCAATAGCAAGTGAAGCAATTTTTTGTTATACCCAGGTCAACCAAATGCATAGGATCCAACGGGAACTGTGACACTATGCCGAAATCATGAAGTTCTAATATGTTAGGTTGATGTCGAAATTGGTTGCAGTGATGCCCGGGATCAAACCTACTTTTAAACGAAAAGTCAGACCGTGCATCATGCATTTGCTTGGAGAAACTTACACGCGTCTTTAAGTATTGACCTACTTGTGTGCATTTGGGACAGCTGTTTTTTCCGTTGTGGTACTGAACACCTGTTACAAATGCACGAGCAGGAGAATCACAAACAAATGCACGAACGCTAAATTTCACATTATGTTCACCAATTTTTACTCCAACTTCCCTCAAACGCGACACTTCTTCGCAAAAGTCCTTCATGAAATCGTTAATATTCCATGGCTTTTCGGTGCCAGAAAAACAAGCTATTACAAATGGTTGTACCTGGGGGTACCCAACAAGTGCTCCTAAAATTGGCCACAATACCTTATTAGAGCTTTTAAATAACTTGAGTCCATCTATGCCGACATCTATTTTAATTTCTTCTAAGGCCTCTGGAAACTCAAATAAGTTTTCTGAAAAGTGTGCTTGGACTCCGAAATAAAGAAATTAACCACTGGGTATAGCTTGGAGCTGTATTTTATTTTTTTCAGTTCCAAGTAAACTTTTCGCGGAAAGGGGCAAATCATTAACACCCATGTCTTTTAAAGTATGCAATAGATCTGTTAGGGAGTTATGCGATATACAGTTTCGAATTGCCCAGGACTTGAGTTTATGAACGTTGTCAACTTTTGGAATAAAGTTGGAGCACCCTGGTACATCGTCGTCACCGCAGTCACTTTCTAAACTAACTTCACTATTGCAGCCACTTTCAATTATAACACTTGCACTATCACTTTCTTCACTTTCTACGCAAGCAAAACTATCTATTTTTCTATATTTTTCTGCATTTCTATTAAAATATTGCTTTTCTAAAGCCACAAGATTCCTAATAGTTTTTTTACTCATTTTGGTACTTGCCTTTCACTTCTTCACTTTTTACAAAGTTTCTCCTGCTGCGCTCCTGGTTCTTATGCTTTCTGCAACGTAAATGCCTTTTATAATATTAATTAATTAATGTAAATGCAAAATTACTTACCGAATCGCCGCATTTAAATACTTGTAATCAACCATCGAAAGACACAAAGTTGAAATGTATACATATGAGTCGTTTTCCAGTATTACGTATGAAAAAATCTGATGGGTATCTATTATCTAACATCTACGACAAATATTTTCTACATCACTAATTATTCCAATTCGAGATGTAAGAAGGAATAAAATATAGGCTTATAGGCAGGCGAGAATAGGCTAGCTCACTCTTACATTATATAGCAGTTGGAATGGGATATGTAATTGAAATCACTCATTAGCCTTATCATGGGTTCATTTAGAGAATAATTCGTCTTACATAGGTCAATCGAAAACATATCATGTTGACGTAGCAATGATTGGATCATTGAGTTTAATGCGATCTAATAGAGTTGGGCAGTCAATTTCCCCACTCAGAATATCATGTAAAAACATCAGACCCGAGATAGTCCGCCTACTACGAAAAGTATGCAAGCTAATCACTTTGCCGCGAGATATATATCGTGGAGTAGGATTTTCAAACCTAATTTGAGCCAAACCAAATTTTAAACAACATTTTTGTACACGCTCAATCCTGTTATGGTGAAATTCGTAAGAAGGATTTCATATTATAGAGGCGTATTCCAGTTTGGACCTGACAAACGCATTACATACAAGATTTCTTGTATAGGGATCATTGAATTGAGCACTGTTTCGCTTAATAAAAGCTAATGAGGAGAACGCTAAGACTTTCAAGCAGGGTTGCCACTTTGGTAAATTGTTACCAAAATTGGTAGAAAAAATTTGGGTTGGTAAAAAGGTAAATTTTTTCCCATTTTGGTAGATTTTTGATGAACTTTCCGTTCCCGATCTATTTTTCGTAGTTATCTTTAAATATATTATAAATTTCTTTGCATACTTTTTATATAATTACATACGTATAAATGTATATCGATATAAAGCGAACATATCGCGCTCCATTTTACTGGAATCCCAAGGAGTTTTTGATTGTCTAAATATTTTAAATGATTATTTAAAGATAAAGAAAAATTTTACAGGTATGTAATTACGCACTATGATTGTTCGCAAAAAAAAATAAATCAACGCCATTTTTTATTAATGAAAAAAAAAATCAACGGAAATTTTAAGCAGCACATTGTTGGCTATATTCAAATAGTATGGGCTTTAAAGCTCCATACCTTAAATTGTTCTAAAAATTCAGAGTAAAATACTCGAAATTTAGGCGAAAATTTTTGGAATTTTTCTATATGTTGTATATAGTTTGAATCCTCGATTTTTTTTTTGGATTTAATTGAAGCAATAAAAAATTTTTACTCGATAACTATTGCGGATATTAAAAAAAATCACTTTTTTGAGTCACAGCATTTGTCTATAATAACTCGAGTTGAAGTTTTTCAAATAATGAAGTTTCATTGTTGCCTTTAGTTTCTTCACTCCCGCTTTTAGTTGAAGGAAACTGAGAATATGCCAATAATATAACGCAAATACCGTATAACTAGTTAAATAAAAAGTTCTTAAAAACAATCTTAATTCTTATTGAAGTAACTAAAAAAAATAAAAAAAACTATAGTTTTAATTAAAATAAACAAAAAAATAACAAAACTATAAAAAAGTTATTGGTAGATATTTCCCAGATTTGGTAGATTTTTTCAAGTGGATGGTAAATATTTTTTTTCGTCAGTGGCAACCCTGCTTTCAAGTCATCTGCATATAACAGGTATTCACAATGTTTAAAACAAGCACTGGAATCATTCATAAAGAGAACAAAGAAGGGCGTAAAATACTTCCTTGTGGAACTCCCGACGTCGCAGTGAGGGAATGAGCTAATCCCATCGACTACAACTTTATTTACACTATTGCAAAGATAAGAGTTTATCAAGGACAGAAAGCTTGAGTGAATACCCAAGTGTTTTAACTTCTGCAGAAGTAAATTATGTGACACACGATCAAAAGCTTTAGATATATCAGTGTATATGGTATCAACCTGGTAGCCACCCACAAACGCTGATATACAATAGTTTGAAAAAACGGTTAGGTTAGTTACGGTTGAGCGCCCTGGAACAAACCCATGTTGAGAGGGAGATATTGATTGTTTAATGGCAAATGAAAGTTTACTACTAACAATCTTTTCAAATAATTTCGCAATATTAGGAAGCTTAGAAATAGGCCGATAGTTCGAAATGTCACTTTTGTCTCCTGCTTTAAAAATAGGAGACACAGCCCCTACAAGAACAGTGATAGTCATTTGATTGATCATGTGATACTCACTGATCAATCACACTTGATGAGCATGCTTGTCACAGCTGATTTATCATACTTGATGTATATACACATCACAATTGATCAATCACACTTGATGAGCATGCTTGTCACAGCTGATTTATCATACTTGATGTATACACACATCACAATTGATCAATAACACTTGACGTATATGTAAAAAAGCGTATTTTATAATTTTTTACATAAAACAAATGTGTTACATTTATTATTAGTTGTACTTATGAAACTACGAAAAATATAATTAAATAAATTAAAAGCTTTGCTCCATTGCATAAGGAGATATATTAAACTAATAGGAAATTAAAAATTAGGAATCCATTGCATAGGGATGGGTCAGGTGATTGAGTCAAGCGAAATTTTGACTAGTTTTTGGTCTTTTTCTTTTGATATATTTTTTGTATAAAAGTTTCGCACTTTACCTAACCAGCGCCACATAAATCTACATTTGAAACTTCCTATAAAAATTACGAAAATTCAAGAAACTTTAACATTTGCAACCGAAAATTTTAAACTTTTTATTGCGAATTTTTAGATAAGTTTTGGGTATGCAGTTTGGTAGCTCATTAAATTTTAGTAGTAAAGTGCAAATTTCAAGACGCAAGAAAATCGCGTTGATTTTTTTTGGCTGACGGTGGGTTTTGTATGGGAGAAAATGCACTTTAACCTACTAAAATTTAATGAGCTACCAAACTTAAAGTTAAAAGTTAAAAATTTCCGGTTGCAAACGTTAAAGTTTCTTAAATTTTCATAATTTTTATAGGAAGTGTCAAATGTGGATTTATGTAGCGCTGGTTAGGTAAAGTGCGAAACTTTTATACAAAAAATATAAACAAAAGAAAAATAGCAAAAACTAGTCAAAATGTCACTTGACTTAATCAGATGACCACAAGGGTATTAAATTAATAGGATATAAAAAATTAGGAATTATAATTAAAATTATCTACAACTTGAATTAGAAGTTGAAGTAGAGGTTAGGATAGATGTTGAGGTAGAGGTACGGTTCTGGTTGTTGTTGTAGCAGCTGTAGTCGTTGTTTTGCCTTTTCGAAGGTACTTTTTTTGCTGAAGCCGATGATGGGCACGTACCACTGCTTTGCGTAATCTCTTTTCAAATTCTAAAGCGCCTTGTGCTGAGAAAACATCTAAAATTTAAATACAAAGGCGTACATGTAAAAAAATAGATATGTTTTTTTTTATAATAAAATGCATACCGCGCAGAGTCTTATTCACAAAAGTTAGTTCGCTCAGCGCCTGTTTCTCCCACGTTCCCTCCCAGTTGTATTTTTCAAGAAGGTCATCTGTAAAGATGTCTCATCGTCTATGAAAAGTTAAAATACAATCTTGTAAACAATAAAGTATAAGGTTTGTTTGTTACCATTGTCTGAACAAAGTCTGGTGACTGCAATCTTTGTTCCACTTCTAGCACTGCTGTGGTAGTATGCAAGGGGATCATGCTAGCTACTTCGTCCATTTTGGAGTCTGCAACTTCCCCAGTCATGCGACAAACGTCACAGAATTTTTTTTAAGGCCACTTTGCACTCCCTTATGCCCTTAGCTAGCACCATAGTTTGTGGGTTTTTATCCATTTCCTCAAACGCAATAGCGATCCTCTCTTGATTGCCTACAAGTACGTCCATCCCCTGGCTTAGTATGGATTGCTAATATACGAGAAGAAAAAATTGTTGGTTTGAGAAAAAAATTTACCAAAAGAAGAATAACCTACATTTTCCTCAACTTTCGCCAGTCGGGTATTTGTCTCCCTTTGGGCGTTCACGAGCTCCCTCATTGTCTTCAGAATATCTAGAAAAAAACAGAAAAAGTTTATGAAATATATGTATTATAAATAAAATTATGATTAAATATATAAATTTATAAATATAAATTTTCCTTACCGTTTTGCACCGAGGACTCGGAAATACGGTCATGTACGGCGTCATAGCTAATTCTTGGCAAAATATCTAAAATATATAAGTTAGGAAATATATTTGCGGTTTTGTTTAATACTTTATTTGCTGGGTCCTGTTTTTTACTGAAACCAAAACTGCCTTTCCCTTTCATATGGTCAATACTGAAGCACCCTAATTTAGAAGAACCCTTCAAAACTGACGTAAGACTTAGTCTTTCTTGGAGCCTAAGAAATATATGCTGCAAAATTTTGTTAAGCTTCTTGATCATTTTTTTAATATGCTGCATATAATTTTCTAATTTGTAGGCAGAAAAAGAATCCAGTGGGCCAAATTGTTTGACACAATCCGTTAAATGGAGAAGTCCATGGGCATTAAAGGTAACTAGCTCGTCACCATATAATGTGCCAAAAAAATTTTACAAAATCTTCCAATACTTTTTGTGAAATATCTGTCTCTCTTTGAAGCGATCCCTCTTTGGACAGAAGTCTTATACCACTATGCAATAATAAGAAGTGGTAATATCGATCATTACTTATAGAACCATTCAAAACGAAAATACCCGTATATATCAAAAATTGTCTAAACTCAGTAGATTTCCAAATATATATATCTTCCAAAGTTCTAGGTACTAAAGTTTAAGCAATTTTTTAGTGACCCCCAGATCAACCAAATGCATGCTATCCAAAGGAAATTGTGAAACCATTCCAAAACCTGATTCCTACAACATACTCATTTTCGTTTTTAATTGGTCTACGTGGTGAGAAGGATCGTGTCTTAGTTTAAATGTGATGTCTGACCTTAAACATCCAACTTCTTTCAAAAAACACACCCTATTAAATTTATATAAATCCCTCTGATCGCATTTCGGACAATTATTTTTTGCATTATGAGAAACGACACCTGTCACATATGCCCTGGCTGGAGAGTCACAACAAAGAGACGAACATTGAACCGCAATATATTTTATAGCGTTTTCTTTTCTCGAAAAAAGGCTGCACTTATTCTGCCTTGTGTTAGCGCTGTCACATTTTCATGTTTGTTTCTCAGCCCTTTCACAAGGCGTCGTGTTCTTTTCTCAGCAGGTTGCGATCTGATCCGGCGAAAGTGCTGCCTTTTCTGCCCTCAAATAAACGTGAGGGTGAGAGTTGCATGGTTGATTTTTAATTTAATCTTGTAAAAATGCAATTATTTTCCCTATCAGAAATAAGTGTTTTGCTTTAAAATTGTTAAAGACTTACAGGCCAAGTGAATAGTTCAGCTTTATTAAGTTCTATAAAAAAATTGTGATGTATTAGTATATTTTCTGTTTCATTCTCATATAAAGAACGCAACATTTTCTCAGGTTTCAGGGCAACGCAAAGCAAGAGTTCCCATATAAAAGGGCAGAACTTTTTTTGATAAAAGAAAACGCTATTAGTTAAACCCCACTATGATGCCATTTTCTGGAAGTAGTTTTATTTCTTCGCAAAAGTTTGCCATAAAGTTATCTATATTCTCAGGTTTCCTAAAACCGGAAAAACAGCCGATCATGAAAGGACTAGTACAAGGAAAGCCAACAAATGCACCAAGAATAGGCCACAAGACTCTGTTTGAACTTTTAAACCATCTACACCTACATCGATTGAAACTTCTTCTTTTCCATCTAAAAAATTCGAAAGACGATGAAAGAAAATATTTTTGGATACCTAAATATAAAAATTCCCCACCGGGAATGTTTGAAATTTGCATTTTTTCCTTACTCGTACAAAAAAGACTTTTGGCCGATAAAGGTAAATCTTTCACTCCTACCTTTCTCAACGTATGCAATAAGTCCTCTAACGTACTTTGTGAAATATTGTTCCTAACTGCCCATGACTTTAACTCCTCAGATTTTTCGTTGCTTTCAACATTTGTGACAGGGTAGGAATCGGCCGCTGCCTCAGAATCTACACTATCTGTTTCGGAAAATTCACCCCTTTCAAGCTCACTTGGACAAGAGTGCTCTGAAAATGTTGATGCTGCCGGTAAGTTTCCACTAACAGCAGGGAAAGAAATGCACCCACCCGCAGAAATAGGTGCTACATTTTCTAAAAAAACTGCAACATTTTCACTAGCGAAAGAAATCAATCCACAAGCAGACGTGGACGCTACATTTTCTAAACACATGGAACCACTAACACCACCTGCACGTTCCACTTTTATCAAATCTTTATATTTTTTTACATTTGACTCAAAAGCTCTTTTTTATTTTGACAGGCAATTTTGCAGATGACTTTTTTTCATTGTATTAATACTTATTTTTATTTATTATTATTAAATATCTTTTAAAATTCCGTTTCTGTGTGCTTGTTTTTAGACTTAAAATTTTTGTGTATTCCGCTTGAAACCACGCGCGCTGTTTATCACTTCAAAATGCTTTAATATTTGTTTTCTTTTTCTTGACGCATCAACAAATGCAACTCTGGGGAGGTGAATATATACATATGATTTGTTTCACTCTTAGGCTTGAAATACAATACCGGCGAACGGCAAATTTCGCCGAACTGGGCGATGCTGTCGTTCACCGTTCGCCCAACTATTTCGCCTACTTAAACAGAATTAGAGCGGTAGCGAAAACAGCTGATCCCATTTGGTCGCCTTTATAATTTGGGTGACCATATTTAGAAAAAACTAAACCATATTTAGAAATGAGGAAATGATAACAAATATAAATTGTAAAACAAAGAAAGATTATTATAAATAATTTGTTTCATGCCAGATTTAACGAATCCACAACTATATTTTTCAAACAACAAAAAAAAATCGTGTTTAGGTTGTTTTCTTTTAAAACTTTGAAAGCAAAAAACAAATACGGCCACCTTTGGCACGCACAGCTGTCATCGCCCAGCAGGGCGATAGAAATAAATCTATCGCCATGAAACGCCGCCAAGCGAACTTCGCATTTCGCTTTGGCTGTGTTCTATTTCATATGCTTGCGGGTGTTCTAATTTTGACAGCGCGAATTTCGCTGTGGTGAGTTCGCCGTTCGCCGGCATTGTATTTCAGCTATTACATATGCATTCACGCACTGTAAGGCAGTCTGCACACGGGCCGTATAGCTTTAGACGCATATTAGATGCTACATACGAAAGTTGTATGCTTTGATGCCGCGCACGTGCATTTAAATGGAGGGCTGTATACGAGTCGTCAGCTTTACGAATTCGTCAAAGCAAGCTAGCTGCAAATCGCTTGGCGTACAGCAGTGTTGGTAGCTAGGCGTACGTACGTTTAGAAAAAAGAAAGAAGAAGTTTGTTTGCAATTTTCCGTGTGCGTGCATGCATTTCATTAAAAAAAACTGATAAAACAAAAAAATTCGTGCAAATAATAGAAAAATAAATGAAAATTAACTAAAGAAATAATAATTTTGCATCACTTAACATTTTTTGCCTGATACTTTGACGCTTTGAAGTTGCTTCGTGTGCAGATCTTGAGGCGTAGAGGAATCGTTGCTGCATAAAAAATTGTATACGCGTCTAAAGCTATACGAACCGTGTGCAGACTGCCTAACAATGAGAGCCTTATGGTCTCATTTTAACCAGCGCGAAAACGTTGCAAATATTTGCGACTGTGTTAGTAAGATAAATGAGAATGTGTTAGTTTCCATCACACAATTCTTGTAGGGAGGGTTGATTTTCCATTCATCCAAAAAATGACCTGACGCTAGTGATAAATTAACACCCCTATTCTGCAACACTTTCGTATTCGGATTTTGCTTCGAATCGTAGAAATGGTATACTGCAATCCGAATCGTATCTTCGAACTTTCGAAATTCGTAACAATGGCATGCCTAAAAACGAACGAGTAAGCTTGTTTGCGTAATTTTGTACGAAAACAATTCTGTATCGGAGGCGAGATAAAAGATGTAAATCGATGTGTGTTTGCAGGAAATATTAGTGGTGTTTATTTAAACCGATAAATTTGCCTTTCGTATATACGTATATTTTTATCCACTGCTTTATACAAACGAGCAAAAAAGAATCTTTGTTGCCCCTTATCGAGAAACTTGGGTCCGGTTTAGTTATTTGTACAATGATTTTCGGTTGTTGGGTCAAAACGCAAACCCCAATCCAAAAACTTTAACATACCCGTGTAATCATTAAATTAAACTTTTATTTAAAATAAATGTTTCAGATTTCTGACCACTAGCTTATTAATAAATTTCGTTTGCACTATGCAATTTTTTTGCTAATTTCGATGTGGGTTCTGCGCAAAAATACTGTGATATGCACAAGAAACGTTGTATACCTTTGACATGCGGAAGCCGCTCTTCTCCGGCAACACAGAAAGGAGAATTCTACTTAAATGCATCTTTTCAATGGCTTGGAAGAAGCGGTTATTGCATTAACTGGATTGAGAACCAGTTCTTCAGGCATAGGAGGAGTTCTAGCTAGTGGTTCAACAATTCCACCAGCAGCTGACGTGGATGCGCCCATGGTTACTATGCCCGGCAGCTCCGCATACCTTTGTGAGTGCATTGCCATAGCGCGCTCTTACTCCACTGCTGCAAATGCATCAGAATCCATAATTTTCCTCAACATATTTAAGATCAACCAATTTTACTATAAACAAGCACATGATGAGTGTTTTTTTAATTCCTTTCCACTTTGTTTTCCTTCATACAGCTGACTTCGAAAAACATCTGATAGCTGGCAATGCTGCACATTTTTTCGCAAGGGAAACGTTTTCGTAACGTAGCTACGAATTACGAATTACGAAAATTCGTGTTCTAGAATAAGGGTGTAAATAAGAGAAGCAATGGCTCGGAAATAGATGCGACGCATTGCTTGAGAAAAAAATACTAGATTTGATGAACGTCCACTTGTTTGGAAGTCTTCAAGCTTCTTATACCATAAAAAATATCATCTTCCGATAACATTAAAGATCCAAAATCTTACGATGTAGAACTGTTATTGTAGGTAGCCTCACCACCCGAGGAATAGTCATTCACAAAATTTCATTTGAAAAAATCGGCAAACATATTTGCTGTGTCATTGATGATGACTGCTTCCCTTCGTACTGCATGGGGATTGGAAATACCGACGAAGTACGCAGGAAGTTGATAAAAGTCCAAAAAGCTTTAGGATTAGTTTTGATGTTATTTTCGAAACCAATTAGGTATTTGTTATATAATAACTTATTTAAACAGTTGAACTCAGCCATATATTTCTCGAACAACGCTTTATGCTGCATACTACCATTGTTTATTTCGTAAATTCTTTAATTTTTTTTAATCTCTTATTACACCACGGAAGTTTATGAACTCGGTTGGAAAATATTGCGATGTTTTCCCTAGTAATTTGTTCAAGTTGAGATCTGAAATTAAGAAAACAATCCGGGAGACTACACTCCGTAAATAACATTTCCCAACATTGCATTGCATTACATTGCATTGTTAATCTTTCTATAGACTTTCTAATTATATATATCCAATAAAGGCACACTTGGCCCAAGTTTTAATTAAATTGATTAATTATTTCATCGCAATCTGATACACGTATTAGTTTCACAAAATACAAAATACAATACCTAATGTTAG